GGGGGGGAAATTACTACATGAGATGTGTTAAGTACCACTGAAAAAATGTTTTTAAGCATTTTGTATAGGAACAGGCCATGCATCTTATAGTTAATACATAATAACATACAAAATTAAAATACAACTCACCTTCATTTTAGGATTCTCAATAATGGACTTGAAACTGAAAAAGGATGGCTGAGGATTTGTTACATTTACTTCAGGTCTCCAACAAAATAATCCCTGGAATCTAACCTCAACAAATATAACAACAAATAGAAAGTCCAATTCACAAAATTTTAATAAAATAGTGTTTAGTTATGGTATTAGACTTACATTAACCCAATTCCTCAAATAACTGACTGCAGGCTTTCTGAAATTTATTTTTGCAATTCAAATCCTAATTCTAAAAAAAATCTTGTCTTCTTAAAAAAATATGTTTCCTTAAACCATCAAGGGTAAAAAAAAAACAATCAGTAAGCTTCCCTTTTGAGGTTAGGTTGACAGAAGGGCTTGTGTTAGGCTCTTCCCATAGGATTAGTGGATGAAAAATGTTGTGTAGTAATAGGCAGGAAATCTGACTATAAATCACAGTTGACTAAATAATGTTTACTTCTTAAGCTGTCAGTTTAAGCTGGGAAAACTGTAGCATTGTACCTTTCATGCCACATACTTCTAATCAAGTATGCTGCTACATCATCATTCTCCGCTATCAAAGCCAACTCAACTGGTAACAAGGCCCTTTTCCTCTTGGATTGTTTTGTCTTCAAAGTAAGAAGCAATGGACAATTTTTTACAAGTGTTTTGGTAACATTGAAAAATCCAAGTTCTGCAGCATAGTGTAGCAAAGTCTTCTGTGACTTGTCTGTTTCATCACTGAAAGTCTGGTATCTGCTTTTAGTGTTCAGTTCACTATCTAACACTATCTCCAAAAGGTGACTAATCTGTAAGAAGACATAAAAACATGAAGCACAAAAATCACTTGTCTAAAAATAATTGTACAATGTTTATGACCCTACTTTGCCTGGTGTATAATGTACATGTAGCTTCCTGAAACTGTCCTAATTTATCAATGCTAAAAAAATACCTGCCTT